ACGACAAGATTCCATGATCATTTTTCTATTTTTTACCTACCCATTCCCCAAAAAGTCTAGCATAGGCGCCTTTTTATTCTCCTTAGATTTATGTTTTTTTTTTTCTTATATATGATCATTTCATTATATTGCATTAAAAAAATAATAAAAAAAATAATCCATGCCGAACTTAGCAAGGTATATCAATTATTTGAGGCACCCCTTGTAGCCACATCATATCACCTTTCACCCTTCAAATTTACAATCCTTTCTTCATAAACCACTTCGAGCCTCGTCTAACGATAGACCTTTCAGTTTTCAACCTACATCTACCTAACCTTGGGATGGGATGGTGTGCAACTTATGCATTTTTCAATTTCATAAAAAGCTTGAGTGACTTCAAAAGATTAAAATAGCAAAAAATAAAAAATAATAAAAATAAAAGTGTACAAAAGGGCAAGTGTTCCAATGTCTTTGACATGAACATGTCTTTGATATGAACACGTCTAAGATTGCGTCTCTTATCGAGTGCTCGGTACCGTTCTTGAGAAACATGAATGCCAAGTGAGTGATAGACCGCATGATTGGGATTTCCCACACTTATAAAAATAAAACAAATGCTAAAGCAAAAGAAAAAGCTAAAAAAGAGTAGAAAGCCTCAAGCATAAAAATACAAAGATTCAAAAGCAAGGTTGAACACCACGTAACCTTTAGCCTAACCACGTAACAACCCTTAAAAAGACCTTTTTGAGGTATACACACACTTTTGCGAGGTTCGGCTAAAGCTACGTTCGACCTGATTCCTAACTGATACGTAGGCAACCTCACATCGAGGTGCGACCGTAATAAAAATGCATTCACAATCACATTCACACATCATGATCATATCAAGGGATCTCCAATGCTCATCCCTATCTACTTAGAGCTAGAATTGGGGGCTTGATCCTCACATCATTAGCTTACCTAGCCTAAATGTCACCACCATTTGACTCTTTTAAAAAATAATATCTTTCCACAGACTTAGCCCTTGCGGCCTAACTTTAGAATCACTATCATACACATCACAAATACATGACCAAATAGTCCTTCCCTTAGGAACCCTTCGTCATGAAATCTTAACACAACGCTGAATCATGCTTTTTCATATCAAGATCAATCATCATTGCATCACGAAGTATGAAGTACTTAGCCTTCGCGCCTAAGTTACCTAAATACTTTCATTATCGAGTCAACTAGGATAATCTAAGATGTTATAATCCTTGTACTGTGAGAGGCAACGTTAACGGATTAAGCTCATTCAACATGCAACTTCAAAAAACTTCATTTTGATTCTTTTTCGTGTATTTATTTTTCGAGAGAAAGTCGGTACCCTCCACAAAAAAGACGATTTTTTTTCTTTTTTGCATTTTCGAGTACCACGATCACAAAACAATGCACACACGAGTCATGTACACGTTGAGTCGTGTCATGATATCACCTTGATTTGACTCTAACACATCAAGTCAAGTCAACCTCGAGTCAATCACAGCGAGTCAAGTTCATACCTCGAGTCACGATAAGTCAATGAGTCAAGCAACACTAAGTCTTAGGTCAACCCTAAAGAAAGATATGCAAAGTCCTATGGTCAAAGATATAAATGCAGGTGCATCCCAACAAGAAATAATGTTCCCGGATTTTTTTTTTCGAAAAACCGTGAATACGCCGCATGAGACTCCTCCAAGATAAGAAGAGTTACATAGATCGGTTAATTAGATATGAAGAGCTTTAATTTGCAAAATATTTGAGCGGATTTGGTTTAAAGGAAACGACCAAGCTCAATGTTTAAATCAAAAGCAAGCAACAGCGGCAGCAAGAGCAGAATAGGGAAGACCCGACTCCAGCACCAGGAGACAAGGTTGTCGTCTAGCAACAATATCTGGCGTCTAGCATCAGAGTTCAGCGCCTGGCTCTACATCCCAGCGTCTGGCAACAGAGCCAATTCTTGACGCCAGAGATATTTCAGCAGCGAAGAAGCTCGAAGCCTCTAGGAATGGTTATTTCGACCTCATACAACAATTTTGGGTTCCTTGGTACGCCAGTTAGCCCCTATAAGAAAATTGACATGATTAGTAGTGGGATCAATTACAATCGTAGTAAGTGATCAACCTGACAAAAAATCGTCTCACTTAGCTTAAACGCCTAAAACAATGGCTCATTACAAGCACCAACGTATTGGTTTAAAAGCAAGCACTTAAACGACAATATTTCCAAATATGGATTGTCGGGCATTCTTCTTAAACGACAATATTTCTAAATATGGATTGTCGCGCATTCTTCTTAAACGACAATATTTTCAAATATGGATTGTCGCGCATCTTCTTCAACGTCAATTTTTCCAAGATTGGATTGTCATCTCTGGCAAAGTTTCCAAGCGTGGATTGTCGTGCTCCTTCGCTGTTTAGCAATTTTTTCCAAGTTCGGATTGTCATAGGTGGCATTTTTTCCGAGATAGGATTGTCATACACCTAGTTCCCTATGGAAAAATTTCCCAAAGGATTGTTGTAGGTCTCTATTCATCATAAATTTCTGCAAAGGTTCCTCAACGTGTATTGTTATTCATTTTAGTTAGTGGCAAATTTTCCCGAAGTGGATTGTCGGTAGACTTTTTTTTGCAAATGTTCCAAGACGCGGATTGTCAATTTTGGCAATATTTTCCTAAAAGGATTGTCGCATAGCATTGGCAAACTTCCAAGGTGGATTGCTTCCAAGATGTGGATTGTCATTCGTAGCAAAATTCTTATGACAGATTGTTACGAAGCATTGGCAACTTTTCCCAAAAATTAGATTTTAGCAAATTTTCCAAGATACGGATTGTCGCTTCATCGTGGCAACATTTCCAAGGATGGATTGTTACGAAGCATTGACAAATTTCCCTAAATTGGATTGTCATACATCATACAAGAGTTGTGTTGGCAACTATTCCCAAAGAAAAGAGGATTGTCATCACAGCAAAAGCACTGACATAGTGATTCACAAGTAGTAAAGCGCCAACGTACTAGCATAACAACATTAAGGATCAACAAGCAGTGTTCTTTTCCAAGACTATCACAACGGAAATTGGAGGCAATTATAGGAGTAGCACTCTTCGGGCGGTATTCTCTAGCTTGCAGAAGATCGTCAAAACAAACAGCAGGATGGCGTTCCCTAGATTGTGGAAGGTTGTCAAAACAGCAAAATGCAACAAATCGGTTACCTTAAGAGATGTGTGCTCGACGGTGCAAGATACGCGTTTCTTAACTCTTTTATTTGTTTTAACTAACGCTAGTTTGCAGGTATCGACATTACAAAATTATTTAGGATCGCAGAACGTTCTGAATCATCATCCGTCCCTAACGCTACTTTGACTTTTGTTTTTGAAACTTGTGTTTCTCCAAACTCAGTCAAAGTGAGGGCTTCTGTAGACACCCATTTGTGTCTCCCCAAAAAAAACCCAGTGATGAATACCTTTCATGTCATTGATTATTGAACAAAGAGAAAGTGTGAAAAGTCTAGTGATGAGGATGTTTTTATTAAATATATCATCTTTCTGTTTTTGAAAATATTTCTTTTCTTACTTTATTTTTGAAAAACATGCATTCTAGTTTAGTTTGGTCTATGATAAGGGTCAAATAATGGTATAGTTGGATAGGGCTTGAAAGGACCTTTCTAACGATATATTATAAGCCCAATTCCGATGAATAATGTGGAAGTTATTGCCAAAATACTAAACTGGGCTCGAACCGGATCTTACCAACAGACCAATGATCATGTGGAGGGTCCAAAGGTCTAATCCTATTCATAAAATAATAAGGATTACTTAGAAGCTTCTATAAGTTTCTAAAAGATCTTAATTATCCTTTTTGATAAGATAAGAATAAAGAATTTGAGTTAAATAAAAACTTTCCTTTTATAAAAACTTTCCTTTTTTTAAATCCTAATTCTGTTCGAATTTAAAGATTTTCAAAGACAGTCAGATATTTATTTCGTGCCTCATAATCATTATCTAAATCTTATATGGCTGGATCGATCTTGAAATTATCTTTCCAATGATATATTATAATATTAATTTCAAGCTATAACGAAAAAGATATGAATGAGATACGAAACTCTATCCAAAATTAATACCGTCCTACTATTTTTGCCATATATTTTTATCTACATAAGATTTTGGTTTTATTCTAATTGGGTTGGAAGTAAACTTTAAGAGCTTTCTAACGCTATATTATATGCATTATTTGGACTTCTAGATCAAAAGATATGATAAATACAAATTCTGCAAAAACTGCTGTCCATCGAGTTTAATTTCGATTCGAATTCGGATTCTTTTCTTTATTTTTCGACTCTTTTTTTTTCCTATAAATAGAGGTCATATCTCCCCTTTTTCAATAATCAACTCTTATTAAGAAATTCTTGATTATCTCTCTCTTTCTAAGCCTAGCTTTTTACAAACATAATTCCTCAAACATTCACTAGTACAAAAAAGGGCTTAGAGAACGGTTGTAATAGGCTTTATAGAACGCTTTAAGACCGTTCTTCTGCTAAGCGATGTATAAAGTATAGAAAACGGGTCAATTATGCGTTTTATATACTAACAAATAAAGAACGATTGTTAGTCACAACCGTTCTCTTTTCCCTTCCTATAATCGTATAATAATGAAGGAAAATAGAACGGTTTAGAGTACTCATTAGTTCTATATTGCATTACAATAGAGAACTGCTGAGTTAGATAACCGTTCTCTAAAGTTTTTTTTTTAAAAAAAATCCAATCAAGAGATCATATATTGCATTATTTTCCTGCTAGCTGTAATATTCCTGTATTTTATTTTTGACGATATTATTGAACTTTTTTTCTGTATACGTATAATTGTTGTATTCTTGTATTTAATATTGTACATCAAAATCTACATTTCCTGCGTAAAAGAAATTCATGATCTAGTATGTACAATTTCAGTATAATAGAATTAACCAAAGCCATAAAAATATACTTCATATAATTTACGACATCCAACAATTAAATTTTATCATTCATTCAAAAATTTGTTCTATACAAATACAATATATATATATTTATCAAAACACCTTTCTTATTGATGTTGATAAAAATAAATTAAAAAGTATAATCTAGCTTAGATATACCAATATCATAGATCTTCAATCCAGATAAATCATCAATGTCGTCATTTGGTTGATGGCATCCGGTAACATATGAAATCCATCTTCCCCTAAGCTTGTCGATCATTAGTTTTGTCAATATACTGCAAAACAATGTAAAATACATCGGTCTTTCTCAGTAAAAGTAAGGTTTTTTCAGTACTATCCTATTAAATCAGAGCTATAATAAGTGAAAATATAATATAGAATTGGTGAATATAAGTTTTAATCACTTTAAATAGGGTGATGAAAGCAAGGCTTATGATACATATAACGATTGTGAATTTGTGACTTAGAGTAATTAGTGAGCATCCAAAACATTGCCAACAACAATCAATGAATTTATGATGCACATCTCTCCATCTCAACAAGAGGAATAGTATCAAGATCAACATCTTCAAATCGGATGAATCCTTACCTCAACGAAATAATATAAATTAAGAAACTACATGCATTGAGTGTTGACAACTTAACACCCTAGTTCAAATTTTATAGATAAATTTTTAAACTAAGACAGGTCATTGGATGGATCAGGAATTTAGGATAAGATACTCACGGGACAATGCTCTTTGTTCTAGATTTGTGCACCAAGAAACTCAGCAGCAAGATGCTGAAGTGCCTTTCTACAAATTTCTCTACTCATATTAAGAAAAGAAATTACTATTTTATAACAAAATCAAACTCAAAGAAGTAAGTACTTTTCATGTATGCTAATGGAGCATAATATTCTAAATAAATTAGTTTAAGAAGAGCAATTCAACTTATATGAAAGAAAAAGCTAGATAAAGAAAAGAGTATGAAACATGATACATACTTTGTAAATGGCTGGTATTATGCAATGTCACCATGTCTTTCTTTGGATGACTTAGTAAAAGTTCCTGATAACTGTTAAGATATCGATTAGTTGATGACATTATAGTATCAAAAGTAGGATGCAGATATAATCAACAAATTATATTACTAGTGTCAAAGGAGGAGGGGCACTAACGTATCAACTATTCATAATCAACCAACAAGAATTTTTCCTTTATTTAACTTTGCTACCTTATCATTATTATAAATTCACTTACATAAGATTTTGATTTCTTGCTCTTCTCTCTTCATAATCAGCTACCTAAAATCCACAAACAACATGACTACTCTTATACATCACTAGAATTAGATTTAATCATCACTGAATTTCAATCACAACATCTCATAACCAGCCCTTTTATGAAAGAAAAGCAAAGCAAATTAATTTTTCTAAAATAATTTGCAAAGTATTTGAAATTAATAGAACATAATAACCTAGTGGTAATCAATTTCCCCTACCCCTCTTTCTTTATCTAATTAGGGTTGTACATTTGACCTAGTTAGAGTAATTTGGCGATAATAATTTTGATTAATAGTGAAATTTCTTGTAATTTGTATCAATTAAGTGTAATTTGATTGAAAAAACTGCAATTTTATAGAATTATTTGCGTTTATAAGAATCGATTGAATTCGCAACAACTAAAATTAGGAATTTTTTTAATCCACCTAAAATTTGATCGGAATTACTGCAATGGATGAGAACTATGAATTCATTACAATTGAATTGAAAATTTCGATTGATTAATACAACTAGATTGAAATACTCATCCGAATCAAGAAAAATTTGAACGAATTACCTGGAAAGTGCAGTGGTGGTGCAGCGGTGGTGCAGCGGTGCGGTGCGGTGAAGTGATGTTCAATAGTGTGGCGGTGGAACGACGGTGGGAGATGGGGTGACGGATGTGCGGTAGGGCGGCGAAGCAGTAATTGGTGAATTGAGCAACATGAGGTTTCACTTTTCATCGTTTTTCTAAAGCAGTAAGCAGTTAATACTCTAGTGAATAGTGATAGTGCAGTATAAAAGCGTTTTAATTATATTAAGCAGCCTTTGAATAATTAGGGTAATTCTAAATATCCCAATGGTCCACATAAATATCCCTCTAATTTTTTTTTAAATATTATAGAAAAAAAAAAGAAATACAAAACGGTTGTCAAGATGACCGTTCTGTATCATTTAAAACGAAATTATTTATTTTTTATTATTTGAGTAAAAAAATAGAGAACGGTTAACTATCCTAACCGTTTTATATTTAATAACTCATAAAACTTTTCTTGCACAAATATGTTCTATATTCTTCCGGAGAACGCCTATCTTTGATAACCGTTTTATATTTTGTGATTTGTAATCTAGTTTTTGTTGTAGTGATTAGCACTAGACATACCTAGCATAATTCGAAGTTGGCTTCGCCCTAGACGTGAAAGGTTTTAATTGCTGAGGGTTTGGTGCCAAATCTAGTCTAAACTTTCTTTAAATCTCTCTTTCACTTATTGTTTAATTTAATTTTTTGATTTTATTATTTTCCGTGAAGTTACTAACGCGTGTATTTTGTTAATAGAAAGAGATACAAGGCATCCAAGTAAGTGCTTTAATTGTTTGCATTGATAGATGATATAGAAATCATGTCTAGGTTGTTATTATGATTCCTAGTATCATGTTATGATGCTTGATGTTTTGAATGACAACAATGATTCCTAGTATTATGTTTAGGGAAAAGGTTATAGTATCAAATATGATTATTATGATTTCTGCGATGCTTCCTATTTTCTTTTGTTATATTCATGTTAGTATCACGTTAGGGCTAAAGCTTTGATTTTTAATGTTTAGTGACATGATAGGTTTTGTTATTAATCTTGTTAGTATCATGCCTAGGGTCTTGCTGTTATTATGCTTTAACATTATTATGATTATTTTTATGATTTATGATTATAGTTGTTATAATTATTGTTATGATCATTATTTTTAATTATGATTGTTATAATTATAATTTTATTATTTATCATTATTATTATGTTGCTTGATTATATTTATTTATTGTTATTGCTTGATCACGCCTTTCATGCATGTTTAAAGGGAATTCGTACTTGTAATCATGCTTAATAAGATAATTAATAATCTTGTTTAGGGTTAATTTTATTATAATTCAAGTGATCACCAATAATAGATTTATTTGTGCATTAATATTAAACCAACATAGATAAACAGGTTTAGGATTAATCCTATTGATTGCATTTTAGTCCGAAAGTGCACATGAATACGATCAGAATAAAGTAGAGGCCTATTATTAGGGCAGGTTCAATCTCTTTTAGGTTGGATTTGTACCATCATCCCCGAACTACCAGTCATGGTTCCAGACCTATTGGAGTTGACGATTTCCCAGATCGTTAACGGGTGTAACCTTCACTCTGTGAACGGTTTACAAGTGCCTAAAACTTGACGGCGACTCTTTTGCTCTAGCTTTCTTCCCTTTAGACGCGACCGTACTTTATAGTATGATCATAGTGGGGTTCAAGTTTGGGGTAATGCTTGAAATATTTCCTACAAGGAGAGACCAAGCTTTCAAGCTACCCAACCCCGCCTTAACTAAATTTGAGAAGGGGAAGCCTTCCTACACTTTTGAGTTAGACGGTCAAGGCGAGGTTCAATAGCCTCACCTTTCACCACAACCCCACCATTCGCCCCAATACCAACCACAACCCCAACCCTACACATATGGCATACCCACCTCTTTCGTCGATTATAACATCGATCCCCATGCCCCATATGACTTTTCGGCTTTTAGGAGCCAACTTGACCGTATTGAGAGAGGACAAGGGAGAGTAAAGGGCATGGTGAAAAACCTAGACTCTAGGTTAGACACTCTAGATAGGAGGGTTGGCCATGTTGAGAGGAACCTCGGGAGGGGTTTATACCCCATGTATGACGATTATACACGCCGAGGGGCTATTCCCCCCGAGGCATTAGTTCCCGATTGGTTCCAATACCCCCAAGGAGGGTATTCGACCCCCATAGCCTATGGTACTTATGTGAACTACTCTTCAGTCCATGGTTATGGGGCCGATGCTCCTTTTGGGGGGATGGGGGGAAATGTAGACCCTAACTACTTTGCAGGTGGTTCGGACTATGGTGGTGCTGGTACGAGCCATGGAGGCGTCGGATCGATCTATGGAGGAGGCTATCAGTAGATGGATGAGGATTATGATGAGGAGTAGCTTGTCCTAGCTATACCTCCAAGTCAATGAGGGAATTGCTTGATTTGGCTTGGGGGGAGATACCTTGTACATATGGTAACTCTTTCTATCTTTTCTCTATTTATCGCTTTCTAGTATAGTTTTATTGCTTTCTAGTGTAGTTTTTATTGCTTCCCTTTATGAAAAAAATACAAAAAAATGAAAAATATAAAAATTCACCAAAATACGTTCCAATGAATTGTAAATCAAGCTTTCCTGTGTCCCATACTTGAAAAATATTTTTCTAATTCTTGTTATATGATAATGAACTTTGCGAATTTGTTGATCATGATTTGAAGTTTAATTGTTTGGATGCCTAAACAGGCGTCAATTTTGCCAACTATTTCTGAATATAGTGCTTGACTAGTTGATTAGGTTAGGAATTGTGTGATAGTTTCTGGTATGTCAAGGAATTTGATTATTGGTTTGCAACTATTAGTAATATTTGTATGGCTCAATATTATGCACATTAAGGAGGACGAAGGCATTTGTTCCCTTAGGTAGCTTTCAGACGATATTAGATACATTTGTTCCCTTCTTGCTACCCATGTTGTTGCTTGTGCCCTTTTTATTGATTATTTAGCCACATTACAAGCCTACATGAGCCCCATTGGTTACTAGTCCCAAGCTTGGCCTGGGGGAGCTATTAGTTGGTGAGGTGAGGGAGTTGTGGTGTACACTCTATTTTCACAATGTGGGAATAAAAGAAGTGTGATTGTTCTTTTGATATTATGATTGGAAAAATTTTGATGGTTTGTGTTTTAAAGTTAAAATTTTCAAATGTGAGATAAAAAAGAAGAGCAAAGAAAAAAAAAATTGTTGCAAATGTTCAATTGTTCTATGTGAAGGTTGCTCATAAAAAAAAAGAAAAAAAAATTCATGTTTGAAAAAGAATAAGAAAGAAAAGAAGAAAAAAATTAGTAGTTCAAAGTTTGTTTTAATTCACTGTATTTCCTATTATCATACTTTGTGAGTGAATATATAAGTGTTGGGATTGTTGTTATTGAAAGGAATGGTGTCCTTCGAACAAGTGTACTATTCCGTTAGTGGGTTTAGAATTATTAGAAAGCTAATATATTCAGTGAGGTCAAGTGATCGGAATGCCTTGGTGGAGGCCGCTTCCGATCAGTAATATTAATGAATAATTAATATTACAGCTTAATCTTGACTGAACCCTTCGGGTCAAACCCAAGCATTCAACAAACCGAACCGACGAATTAATTTGGAAGGAATTAATGAGTCGACCGAGTAATATTTATTTAGACGTCGAAAATTCGAGCTTAGAGCGTCGAAACCGAGTGTCGGAAGTCGAGTCGAAAAATAGTGAAAGACGAGATGAGAAATAGTAATAAATCAACAAAAGACCAAAATACCCCAAGCATCGGAATGCCCAAGCATACCGAGTGCTAAAGGCGAATGGCCTAGCATAATGGCTAGCATGCGAACCAAGCCGAGCCTAGGCTGGCGGGTGCGTGCTAGCGAACCCATGCTAGCATCGCAAGGCTAGGTGCTGCCTAGTGCGTGCTAGCATGCTAGGCGCAGCCTTGTGCGCGCAATGGCTAGCAAGCCATGCCGCAACAAGCTGCAGCAGCTAGCACGCTAGGCGCGCCATCTCGCCACATCTAGCAGCAGCATGGCTAGGCCATTGCTTGCTGCCTAGCAGCGCTGGCCAAGGCACAAGGCCAGCAGCAGCCCGCACAAGCATGATGGGCTTGCTGGCCAGCAGCGTCTGGCAGCCAGCATGCGAGTGCTGGGCCTAATGGGCTTGATGGGCGTGGCTGCCACGGACAGCAGCTCATGGCAGCCCACCTTGGCCGCCTTGGTGCCCAAGGGTGGGTGCCATGTGGCTAGTGGTCCTTGAGTGTGTGTGGAGTGAGGTGGCCGGTTATGGGAGAGGGAGTGGGGAGCAAGTTTGGTCCCCCCCCCCCTTCTCCAAGTGGTCGTCACCTAACCACTCACATGAGCTTGCCACTTCTTGATTTATTACTAGCTTGATTATTAATTTTATTTAAGCTTTAAAATAAAATGGAAAAATCATAATATCCCACATTGATGGGAGAGGTAATGATACTCACATCATTTCCTATAAATACCCAAGTATGGGCATTGGGAATGAGGCTTGAGTAAGAGTTGGAAAAGGCATCACAATTAGTGAAAACCTTTGAACTCAATATAATTACTCGGGTTTTATTGGTCGGGTCTTGCTAACCCCAAGACATTGGACCTAGTCGGTTTTTTTGGTGCGAGTGGACTTCGTTGGAGGTCTCCGTGTGAGCGGGACTTGAAGCTTTCAAGTAAAGGCTCATTTTGGAGCGAAGCACGCGTCAAAGGTAATTAGCTTATCTTAATCTTGTGATTAATATAATTATGTTTATGGTTTCATTTATTGCGAGTGCCGTCTTGTTTTTGGGTTTGTTTCCGCGGTGAGTCGGACTCACCAAACCCCAACAGTGGTATTAGAGCCAGGTTCGTTTATTTTTAAAATTATAATATTTTCAAGGTGTTTTTATGGCTTAATTTTTCTGGTTTGAAGTTGCTAATTAGATTAGTAACTCGTTTTTCCAATTTTTACCTCGTATTAGAGTTGTTTTCAGCTCCCGAACCAAGATTTCGACCCAAAAATACTGAATTTTGGGTGGAAAAGGCGTTCTGGAAATGGTTTAACCCTTTCTAAACTCGGTTTTTAGCCAAAAAACGACCAGAAATGCATTTTTCGAGGGATTTTTCGTTTTGACGAAAAATTTTAAGTCTTTCTAACCTTGAAAATTGATTGCATATTTATGGTGGTTATGTATTTGGTTCATTCCTTAATTTATATGCAATTTTAGACCACTTTAAGCATGATTACTTGGTAGT